AATCGCACTCCACATAGGCGCCACTGATAGATAATCGCGACACCGTCCACCCCCCTCCTCCTCCCCGAAGCCTGTGAACTGACCAGAAAAGCACATACCCGCGTATGTGAATCAATATTATTTCCTCTGATACACCGCAAAGAAATGGTCTTCCAGAAAATAAGAACAGCTTTGGAGTCGTTGAATCTTACCCTATCAAACGTTCTTGAAGTCGAAAAAGAGCTTTGTACTGCGAGAAATTGCGCGTGTGGAAGCACAAATGTTTTCCTTTCGCTCAAGCGTCATAAATGGGTGTTTTCGAAAAATGAAGAGTGGGGCTCTAGTCAGAGATTTATGTTTTCAAATGATCGCTAACACTCTTTATGAAAAATTCTTGTCCAGCTGAAGCCATAGGCTTACATGTCTGTGTTACGAAACGAAAAACTACACAAAAGTTTGTGCCAGCCAACGCACAGAACAGTGTTTGTTGTGCGTGAGCAGTGAAATCGGACTTTGACCAATGCCTTTTTGCTCTCTCAAAAAGTGAACCATTGGGAAGTCTTCCATAGATGTATTTGTAGTGCACGAGATTCCGAGGTTGGCTTGTATATTAGCACACTTGTGAATCCATTTCACACTATTCTGCATAAGAAAAGAATGGGCAGTAAACAGTAAACAATAACTAGAGTTCTGCACTTTATGTTATGCAATGGTATGATTTTTTGAAAATATTTTGATATGAAATCCTATGCTACATCTCAAACGTACAACTGTGAGTTTTGCGTGGCTTTCCAATGCCTCAAAGGAGAAACGATAAAGCTCTCGGCGTTGATCAATCCTGAGGGTTGCGCCATGCATTCCTTTTCCAATTTTAAATTTCATTTTAGATAGTTGAGCGCGCACCTGACCATTACAGTGACTTGCGGTGGCCTCCCGTTGTATCAAATCAGTGCTGCTTATTCTCTCAGGCAATCCTAAGACTAGTCTGATCCAATTCACCCACCTCGGATGGAAGGACGGCTTGGTGAACCATAAGAGCGAGATCGCACCATTCACCTTGTGTGCGACGCAGTGCACCTCTAGCCACTGCGCCACATGCGCTCTTCAATGCCTTATCGCATATGATTTCATTTGAAATTCCTAGATATGAGAAGCATTTTCTCCCAATTATCTATAAGGATATGCATATTTTGAGCCATAGGTCTAGTGCTATAATAGGCGCCTATTTCGTCCTATTGGGACTCATCAGTAGCACCCTCCCTCGGTTCCGTCGATCCCTTGAGGTGAAACAATCCTCCAAAGGAACCGACGCCGAGTAAATTAAGCACCCAAAGTAGGATGATGTTATTACCTGACTTTGTGGTGACCGGCAGTCGAGCTTACGGCTTTTAAAATGAACTATACTTCTGCTATCGACTGCTTTTTTTTACAGACCCGCTCAAATGATTTAATCTGATAAGGATATGCATATTTTGAGCCATAGGTCTAGTGCTATATAGGCGCCTATTTCGTCCTATTGGGACTCATCTATAATGTCCAATTATCTATGTTTAACTCTATGTCTGTCATAATTAACTTGCTTGTTCAATTAAGTTTCTCTGTGTTGTCGAGATCTTCAAAATCTATTCAACATCTATTTCAAATTCTATTATGCTTCAGTTGAGATATATGTTCGGCCAGTGTGACATTGAAAGATGCGACGTTGATGTTTTTCTCTCAGAAATCATCGCCTGATGAAAGAGCAATGGCGTTTCGGTGTATTTAACTTGTTAAAATGACATAAGATACTAATTTGATACACTCATTTTTATGCTATCATTGCTAAACGTAGAGGGTGCATGGTAGTGCACGGTAATCGCTTCCACCAGAGTTATTAGCCTTCATCAATTCTTTCGATATACTGGAAAGTACGGCCGTCTTGGAGAAACTAAAGATTACACCCAAAAAACATTAACACTCCTTTGAAATTCGTAAATCACTTTTCCTTGACAATGTCAACTATTGATCATGAATATTTTTTGTGCACATGATTCAGCATGGACTGAGATGAGAACTATTGTCAGAAATAAGACCTATTGTCAGAAGTTCTCAGCTCTAAAAAGACTTTGCGGTCAAGTAATGAATGTTTATGATACTTCTAGAGAGGTCGACGTGGATAGACATTAGCTCATTTTTGTAGTCTTTAACGTACGAGTTACACTTCTTTTATGCGATCGATTGCTTGTACAAAATACAAAATTACTATCAGGCAACCACTAGAGCTACTCTACACATATACTTTATAAAAAAACTGTGTTTCAGAGGAGTTGATCTTCTCTGCAATGGACTGCTTTTGGTGAAGTGAGAATCACTTAGTCATTTGTTCTTTATTGGGAAACTTTAGCTTTAACCTGACAGGATGTGTGAGTTAGCTATGATCTGACCATCGAAGACATTAAAGGAGTAAAATTTTCATGAAAGAAAATTATTGGACTTTATATTATGCATGAAGATAATCTCTTAGCACGTTTTCAAAAAATTTTTTAAATTAGTTCAAATAATTTGGTATGTTCTCCCATTATTTTGAATGATGCAATCCAGACCTACAAGCAATAGCGTGACTCGTTACAGGACTGTTTGAAGACTTCAAAAATGAATATTATCAATATTGAATTACTATTATGTCATTCGCTTGTGCTATATATCAGAAAACGCTTCAATTGGCTTTCAATAATCATTATGATTCTTTTCGTATTTCCTTCTAACTGCATAGCAATGTTTGCCTGCGTTGACTTATTCATTAGTAGCTGGAACACAAAAGAAAATAGACACTACAGCAAGAAAGATTTCTTTGAAAGAGACCAATCGAGAGCAAGAGAAACTGTCATCGTTGTTGTGCATTCGAACCACGAGTGAGCGATTTCACCATGCTGAAGTTAACTGAATTCAACATGTGCATTATGAAGCTTGCTATATCACTCTGAAGTAAACGTGACTGCTTAAAAGGGCGTGGATTTCAACGCTTGTAGAGATCGTCAAATCTCTCAATAACCATTATTAGAAGGCTTATCTTTCACAATCGACTAGACAAGAAAAAAGAAAATCTACTGTGATGAATGAGGATTGAAAAATCACAGAAAAAGTGCTCAAGAGGCTCACAACACTATTACGTAGTGATGTGGAGTGTTTCAACGTTTGTAGAGATCTTCAAATTGCTCATTGTGGCGAAAATGGTGATGTACTGCGTGGAACGACTATATTCTCCGATGAGCTTGCATTCAATGGATTTTTCAAAAGCTATAATTACGATGTTCGAAATAAGTATAAGAGCGGAGAACGCTGATGGAGGGTCGTGGTCCTATCAACCTTGCCTAGGCTTAAGTCTAAGCCTCTCGTAATTTCTTATTTGGAGAAATCAATGAGCAATCGAGTGTAGAACACTCTGTGTTCGGTGAGTTTTTCATTGGACATAGAGTGTAAAACATTCGTTTCTGCTAACTCTTAGTGTGGGGACTGGAGCACCCACAGAGATCAGCAAAAGACGTGAAAGGTAACTGCCCGACTGACGAGATCGAAAGATCGAAACACGTGTATCGGGTTCTATGAGTCAGCCCTCTTTGACAGACCACTGACATGCGTGGCTCAAACAATGATTATCAAGCATATTGAAATTTGAGCTGTAGTCTTAAGAAAACACTCGAATCGAAAGAAATGAGAAAATTGTTTGAAAATTGAAAACTCTCGGACAATGGTTGGGTGGAGAATAAATAGTTAAGTTCGAGATTGACAGTCTGAATCAAACAATATGTAAATTGCGACGCATTTAAAATATGCGTGTGTACGGATGGATGTGCTCGTGTACGTATACATGCATATGTGTACAAGATATATAAAAGTTTGTCAATTTTTTAGATGTTTTAATCCGAAAAAAACTGCATACACGAATGAATTCATTCGAATGAGAGACTAACTACTTTTTTTTTATTCAACAACTATAGCAACAAACACAAGGTTCGTAACAAGTTCTCAAAATTGCCTCTCATGGTCTATGTACACCGGGTTTGAGGATCGCCTTGTCCCAAAAGTCTGGAAACAAATCTTGACATATTGCAATTGTTGAACAGGCTGAATGTGAGCTTCTATATGTTCCGTAAAATTTGCTGCTGATAATGTGGAACCAATATTTTGCACCTTTCACGAGGCTATTTGGAAAAATTAATTTAAGATTCGAACTTTTTTTGGGCCGAGTTCTCTGAATAAGGAATTGCGAGAGGCTTCGACTTAGGCCCAGGCAAGGCTGGAGGGACCACAACTCTCCATTAGCTTCTCGTCTTTAACTCGGATTTTCTAATATCGCGATTATGACCTTTGCGAAAGCTATTGAACATAAGCTTGTCGAGAAATACAGTCATTCTACACAGTACATCATCATTCTGCCATAAACATTCCACATCTTTAGTTAATTTTATCATTCGAGTCTCGTAAGCACTTGTTCTGTGACTTGTCTATCCTTGTTCATCACAGTAGACTTTCATTGTTTGTCTAGCCAATTGTGAAAGACGAGCCTTCCAACAAATGGTTATCAAGCAATTTGGCGATCTCTACAAGCGTTGAAATCCACGTCTTATCGAGCACCTACGCTTACTTAAGAGTGATGTACAAAGTTTCAAAAGGACATGTTAAATTTGACTATCTCCAATCTGGTGAAATCGCTCACTCCTGGATCAATGCATAACAACGACTACGATATCTCTTGCTCTCGACTGGCCTCTTTCAAAGAAATCTTTCTCGCAGTAGTGTCTGTATTTTTTTGTTCCAGCTACTAAAGAATTAAAAAACACAACAAACATCATTGTATAATAAGAAGGAAATACGAAAGGAATCATAATGGTCAGTGAAAGCCAAGGAAAGCGCTTTCTGAGATAGAGCACTAGAAAATTATCATGATGGCAATACTGGAATGATGATAGTATTCAGTTTTAAAATCTTCTCACAGTCCTGTAACGAATCATACTATTGATGTAGAGTGAAGTGCAAGACTTTTGGTCAGGCGGGGCTAGAACCCGCATCTCACTCTTTCCAAGAGCGCGTGCTCTATCCGTTACACTACAGAGGGCCCATTTTGCACAGCACTCTTTCTACGCTGCAGCGCATCTAACAGTCAGTCGCCAGCCGTCAACGGCCCTGGCCTGCGTAGTCTTTTTTTCGAAATTGAACCCCAGTCACGCTGACAGATATGAGGTATTGAAGATCGAATAAAATTCTTTTTGTTTAACCGCTTCTAGCGGTGGTGGGATGTTTCAAATATACCTATTGATGTAGAGTGATAAGCAAAACTTTTGCGTCAGGCGAGACTAGAATCCGCACCTCACTCTTTACGGTAGCGCGTGTTCTATCCCTTACACTACTGAGGGCCCAATTTGCACAGTACTCTTTTTAGGTTACAACGCATCTATCTGTCAGCCGCCAGCCGTCCCTTGGTGTCGCCTAATGACTCGCCTGACGCGAAAGTTTTGCGCATCACTCTACATCAATGGGTATATTTGAAACATCATACCACCGCTAGTAACGGTTAAACGAAAAGAATTTCATTCGATCAGACTAATGTTTGCAGGTCCGAATTGCATTATCAAAATAATGTGAAAACATATCAAATTATTTGGACTAATTTATAATTTCTCTTGAAAACGTGCTGATAGGTTTATCTTATGCATAATATAAAATCTGATAGTTTTTATTCTGTAAAATCTTTGCTCTTTTGATGTCTTCGATGATGAGGTCATTGTGAGCCAACAACGGTTCTTCATTCATTACCTGCCGTACTGAAAGTTTTTAATTAATGGAAAGCAACAACGTCATGTTGTTGTACGAAAAGGAGGCATTCACGACGTCGAAATCTGCCGCTCAATCTGCTTAGTTTGATTTGAAGATGGTCCTCGATTCAGTTGGAACAGAGATAATCATATCAGCTTTAGAAAATAAGGGCATCTCTACTAAGGACTAAGGATTAATGCGAGCTTATAAAACTTCACAACCAAGATGTCACCAGATCAGTCTACAACGACAATGCCATCGACGTAAGAAGAAGGTTTTGCAAGGTGTTACTACTATGCCAAAATTATTCACAGACTTCCAACAAAACGTCATACGGTCATTAGAGTTAGACAACATGAAAGCGAAATCAGTGGTCGACAACTGCACCGCCATGATTTCGCTAATTACATTGTTCTTATAACACTAAGCATCAGCCACGCGGAGCGGACGTTGTCCGATTTCGTCAACACGTGTGGAAAGATTTGTTTCCGAGTAAATCTAACGGAGGCAGTGTTTATGAAAAACAGATTGATTTCGGAGTAAACCACTCGCGCCCAACTTTAGTTATGTCGACTAGGTTGAGAAGTGATCCAAGACGAACTACCTAGTTCCACAGTAGAGCAGGAGGGTGCCAGCTGCCTGAGGGACGTTTGAGAGCATTGCTTATGTACTGAAGAGAACAACGATATCCGACATAGTGCAACGCCTTTTCAAGCTATCCCAACCTCTACATATGCTTAAGACACGTGATCGCTCTTTGAGCAAGATAAAAAATCATTTGGCGTTAATGAACCCTCAGTCTAAAGGGCGATGTTGGAAGTATTCCGTACGCCACCTATCAAAAGCCAAAGATGCTCTTCTTTAAGGCCAGGCTATCGCCGATAATATGGGTCGGACATGTAAAGTGTTTTAACGACAGCTGTTGCAATGACCGTTGCTAACTACATCCCTCGATATGACAAACGGGTCACGGAAAAACTACCTAATGCTCCAATCTCTTTGCAAAAAACTTTGAAGAAGATAAGATGCTTAATTCTTAGAGCGATGAGGACCCACGGAACTACTCTTGCACATGATAAGAAAAACTGAGATTTCGAAGTCACCTTCACAAAATTTGTAAAAGTTCCGAAAACGAAACGAGGTTCTGAAAATACTCGAATAAAAAACAATGTCTATATCATGAATGACAACCATGTGTCATCGACCGTAAAAACGGCCCGACGACATTTCGTGCAGTCGGTCCACAATATACGGGCCTTTTCCTTAATATGCACGGGATTGCAGTGGAGCACATGGCTCTGACGAAGCGAGCGAGATTGCCCAAAACGTGTGTAACTCACTGATGTAACAAAACTCCAAAGGACCGAAATTAGCCTCCGTGAAAATGGAGACTTTACTGGTGTTCTGGCGAGTCACGTCGATGGTTGAAGGGATGATAGGTGATATAGGTGAATGCTATCAACAAATCCGCGTAGTCTAGTCACCACAAGAGTTGACGCGTGGGAAAGCATTGCAAAAAATCTTCGAACTCCACAAATACCGTCTTTCTGCCAATTACTAATCCACTCGATGAGCCATTAATGGAGTCGCCTAACGGAACTCTTCACCATAGCTTTGGTCTCTCAAGAATCAGTGAAAAGACACACTTTGCAATGTGCTCTATAAACTCATTGCTTGTGGCTACAAGTAAATACGCGGCGCTTGCGACATTCTCTCGCGAAAGCTCTGCTACGAAAAACGAATGAAACTGTCGAACGTACTTCTACTGCAAGAGAAAATTCTCAGCTTTACATTGCAGGTTCAACCGATACTAACACCCTACACAGCCCAATAGTCAGGAAAAACATTGGAAGATGCCGTGTGAACTGGGAGTTAACGTGTAACAATTTTTTTTTTTCATAGTTTATTTCGCAAGCAGGCAAGCTGATATTGTTCAGGAAATCAGGATACATTACCAAGCGACTGATGTCGAGACGATGATTATGAACGAAATATTTAGGCCCGTTCTTTGGACAAGCGCTCCACATAAGGAAAAGATTAAGTTTTCCCCGCTTCACTATCGTGCTCAATGATGTTTGCTAACTACGTATTAACTTTCCCCAACAGAATTCTAAACATCATTTTTTAGATGACAAGTCTCTCAACTACTCCTTTTCCTCGTCCATACGGAAAACATTGCTGCATCGGTGATCGTAGCTGTGGTGAGTATCGGAAATATGGAACCACATTTCGTTGCCATGATTCGAATGTGATAAGAAGGCGAACACTAAGACTTATATGAAGGAAAATAAAAATGAGCACATTCCAGATAGGGGTGCTTGGTGTGGTCTCAAACGGAGCCGCGTTATCAGCAATTCGATACAACCCAGCATTACGAAACTCGTTTGGTCTGCTATGCTTCTCCCACAGCATTGCCAATATAGTGGTTCTACTTATCTTCCTGTTCTGGGTAACACCAATGATACTGCTGTAAGTTAGCTTTCTGGCCGAAAGGTGTCAGCATTACCATTTGTAAAAATGCGACATTGTTACCAAAACGAAAATTCTAGCATGAGTCTTACTGTGATTACGGTAAATTCTTTGTGGTTGGACGTTACGGACAGACACACGTGGCTTTTCATAGTAGACAAACTTGACTTCGTACGAATACGTTAACGTGCGTAGTAGAGCAGCACTAACGAACACGTTCGTAATGGTAACGCTATAAACATATAAAAGTAAATTCCTGACTACGTATGAAAATTATTACTTTTCAGAATTTCGTAGTAAACGGGTTCATACGTTGAGGAAGAACCATTTCCTTTAGTCCTGAAATAGACTAATGTGCTTCCACGTGGAGTGATATCAGACAAATCTCGCATCAATTAAGATCACAGGAAAAACGAAGCACGAACCCGAACAAGCGCGTACGTAATGGAGTCATTTAACGTCTCTGCTCTACTATTACCAACGTGTTGAATGACTCCGCACTGCAAGCTACACATGAGCTTCTGATACAACACCAAGGAGCTGTAACACATGCATGGCTTGTCCGATTGAGCAGTTCATGGTTCTATTAAAAGAATGTCTGAACTGCTCAATCTTCAGATGGTCCGGGGAAATATCATGCTCAAATGAGAGGGCTGGGAATGGGTCAGCGACTTGGCACCTATCCTGGCGATTGCCTTTATGTCTAGAGTGGAAAGCACCAGTGGTGGATCTCCGGCCATTACTCTACTGTAGGTATATAGATGATTGAATAGCTATCTGTTCCACTCAAGAGGAGCTAGATAATTGCTTTAGATATGTTGAATGAGCAGTCAGAGTTTACAAAATTCACCCGTGAAATAACAAAAACTATTTGCTCCTATTCTTAAATGTGCAAATAAGCCTAAGCTGAGAGCGGCTACATAACAAAGTGGTACCCAAAGCCAAGTAATGAGAATATCCTGGTTCACTCTCTCTCTCTTCTCATCCCTCACCTACGAAAAGGCGCTAGTAAAAACATGTTTCGGACAGCAGTCAATGTATGTACCGGGGAGGAGCAGAGAGTAGAATCCGTGAAACTGGCTCGGGAAATAGCCACTTCTAATGGATACGAATTTGTAACCCCTCGGCTTAGGTTTAGAGGAAATAATGCGTCCCCGAACGAAAACTCGAATGAAAGGAAAGTCCTGTTTATCCTCCCGTTCTTTTCAAATGAGATAAGTACAGCTATAAAACGTTGTTTGAAAAGGGCGGGTTTAGAGCAATCGATTATCATTATAGAAATACCACCAAATACTCTAAAACGCCAACTAGTTCGCAACCGCTTATATGACCGTCTCTGCATGACGAAATATTGTAAAATATGTCCTAACGGCAGAGAACGGTGATTGCATGAGCTTAGGTACAGTCTACCTAATCTCTTGCAAAGCGTGTAGTAATAAATATATTGGCGAAACGGGTAGGCCGCTCTATGCCTGCATAGAAGAACACCCAGCTGAGAAACGTCTCAATAGACAGAACACCCCGCTAAGGCCGCATAGAGCACAGAAACATGACGGAGTTGATTTTAAGATCGAAGTCACCATCCTTGCGCAGGAACAATAAACATTAGCGCGAAATTTTCTGGTAGCACTTTGGGTTAGCACCACCAATCCGACTATAAACCGCACGGAGGAATGCCTCGTTATCACTCGTGATATGAGTCAGTATATAAGTCTGCTGTTTTTGATGGGTAGGCTGCATCACGAGCCTATGTGATGCCCTCTCGGTGATCTCCACTTGGATCATTCAGTGGAACACATATAAAAAGCAGTGAGTATGGTGAGTGTTGATATTCTGC